AAAAACTGGGCGGGATTACGGTAAAATGTGTGGCCACGTGACCGGTCACACATTCCAACCTCCAGCCATGCAGGATCTCCAGGTAAGAAACTTTGCAATAGATTCACAAAAAATGAATTGCTTAAGAAAACTACATTATGTAGGACATGTCGCTGAAAACTAGATATTGGGTTTAAATAGACTTTTTCTCTGTTTTCAGCTGATAACATGGTGTAGGCTGTTGCAGGTGATTATTATCATGAATTAACTGACATCATGTTAATGAGCTTGGTGTTATAGTATTAGAGGTGTAGTTCATGGGGGGAAAAAAAGCGGCTCCAATTACTTATGTATTATCAGCATATATTCTCAAAATATTGCATTCACTTTTCCGTTACAGTAGTTGCTTATTGTTATTAAATATGACTGCGCTGTCCAATAGGCACCAAAGTTAAATCATGCTGGACATTGGACAGACCTGCTCATTCATGCCCCCTCTATGTGAGGATGCTTGTAATTAAGGATGGGCTCAGGCGTGTTCGCAGCTCCACGTGCCGAGCCCGCCAGGAAGCTGACAGCGCGCAGTGCCAATCACAGGCACTGAGACATTTCCCGATCTCTGCAGCTGCGGACCGGGAAAATGTCTCGGTACCTGTGATTGGAGCTGCGCACGCTGTCAGCTTCCTGGCGGGCGCGCCACGTGGAGCTGCGAACACGTCCAAGCCCATCCTTACTTGTAATAAGGAGTGTGGTTGTAATGTACCTGGGCCAGAATAGAGCCCTGGAGTACGTGCATAGTAAATGCATTTCCACTAAGAAAAAAGGGAATTTTCGGGCATTTACAAGAGAAAGTACAGAATGTGAAATGATCACTTTTACTATGTGTATAAAACCTTTATTTTACAAGTATAACTTAAATCCATGGTGCAGCCATGGCACAGGGTTCACACAGCATTATGGGTTTTATGAGAAGAGAGTCACCAGAAACTGTTTGCCTCCCGACTCTCTAGCTATGGTTCACAGTCCCTTCAGAGCGGTCCCAACCAAACAGAGATGGCAAGGAGCCAGGGGAATGAGTCAATCTTCAGTGGTGTGTATATATTCCCCCCTCCCTGAGCTAAAACAACAGGCGTTATTCAACACAGCAGTTAAGAGGAGACAGAGAAATACGTGACAGCTGTTGCTGACCTCCTGATGAGAATACCAGATTCCTGGCTTTCTCTAGTTTCCATACAATTTAAATAATTGACCTGATACAAGCATGCAGCAAGTGAAGTCAGAACTCCCAGTCTGCCTACTTTTGTCTGGGTCAGTGAAGCCAGCAGATTAACATGACTGTTGGGAAACGTGTGCCCTTGATGCAAGCATGCAAGCATAAGCAGACCCTGTATATCTGTCATGGCAGGTTTCTTTTTAAAAGATTCAGCATTCTGTGTTCTAAGAGATTGGAGGATATGACGAACTGTGTTCTGTGTGCTTTTGTAAAGTGGGATTTTTATAATTCCTCTAATCCTTTTTTTTTCTTCTTTTTTTTGCTTTAGATCAGAAGCTTCTGAAATCAGAATCACCTGCATTCCTTTGCAGAGCCTGTTTAGCAGTAAGTATCATGTATAGTTTTTTTTTGTTGCAGAAGGGACTCTGTAAGGTCCTGTTCACACAGGACTTTCTGGGATTCCTGTAACAAGAACCATGAATTCCTGCGGCGGGAATCCCAGGTGTCCCGTTCAGATGTGGCCGCTTTACCCATTGAAGTAAATGACAGGGTGACAGCGGCTGCATCAGTCAGCAGCAGTCCACATGTAATCACATCACATTACATTACATGCCGTTTGGAAGAGAATTGACATAAATAGTTGTTGCTGGACACATTTATCCCAGAAGTCCCCCATGTGAAGGGGCCTTAAGGTGCCACTACACTGCTCGATTCTCGTACGAGAATTGGGCGAAATCCCGCGATCATACGAGAATCGAGCAGTGTGAACTAAGACGTGCGACCGTTTCTACTGTACGGTCGCACGTCTTTTGTCAAGCCAACATCTGCCAAAAATCTCCTACCTGCTTGTCTGCAATTGTTCTTTTTTCTGTGCACTGAGCCAGCAAGCTGAGATAAAGTATCTCCCATGTGCCAAATAAAAGTCAGAAAACGTTACAATTCCTTATCTGAATATTTGTTCTGGTTCAATGAGTTTGAAAACACCACCAGGCACCACACAATATAACGGGGGCCACTCTCCCCCTTAAAAAAAAAAGTTTCCAAATTACTTCTCATCCTCTCCACACCAGCCTGGACTCAGAAGAGAATGCTGCTGATATCACTATGTGAGAACCATTCTCAGAAGCAATTTAGACCACTTACCACCAACACCAGGGGTGGAGAGTCATGTGATATTCAAAAAAAGGTGTGTATACTGAACATTTTTTAAAATAAATGCCAGGGACGTACTCCAAAAGAGAAGGGGGAATTCATATCTTGGAATTGGACTTCAAAGGCTTTTTGATACCGTCCCCACCCCCACTTACCTCCAGGCTGCCGCTATTTTGTTAATTTGGCACGGCTGCACATACAGAGCCGCGTCATGAACAGGATCTGTTCATGGCGTTCGGAGAGAGACAAAAAATGCATTTTATTTCTTATTTCTTTTTTTTTTTGTAAAGGTGGGCTCTAGCTTTAAATATATATTCTTTATTGGCAATCCCTAAAATATGAACATTTGGCAAGCAGGAGCTATGTGAAAAGAAACCCTGTCAGGTGACGGTATTTTACTTGTGGCAGGTACATGTTCTGGGTCAGTGAAGACAAAGCATTGACATAATAGACAAAGAACTATGCGTTCCGGAGGTAGAAATCTGCAATAACAGGTTACATATATCTGTCATCACATGTGTACTTTAACCTTTTCACTGCCAGACCACTTTTTTAACTTTGTTACGCAGTGTTAAAAGACAAACTTTTGGCTTAAAAAGTTACTAAACACCCCCAAAACGATATATTATCTGGAATCAGAGCTCCTGCAACATATAAAGATGGCAGTCACAAAACGATCAAATCTATATTTTCAATAAAATTACACTGAGATTGATCTTAGTTCATGCAAACACACATTTTCCATGAAATATAAAGATAAGACCATGTTGAGTCATTAAATACCAATTAGGTCGACTTTAGAATTGCGTGTGAAAAGGCAAATAAATTAGAAACCTTTGCAACCTTTATCAGTTTTAAGTTCACTGTAAATGATTCTTCTTCCTCTGGCCTGTGTGTTGTGCAATCGGCATGTATATATGCATGTGTATGCGGGTGCGGGGTCCTTCAATTTATTTTATCTTTCTTTACTTTCACAAATGAATGTATGTATTAATACAGTGGAAGTCTGTTAAACCCTGCTCTGAACCCAAACGGATTGATGACGGATGCTGCAGTCCAGATTAGACTACAGTGAACGTGGAAGTGCTCAGAGTTGAGCTCTTCTGCATTCATTGCTCACAAGGAGAATTGGAGAACCAAAGTTCCTTGATATCCTCCCATTCTCCATCCTTTTTTTTTTTTGCAGTTTGGGCTTCCAAAAAAGAGTGAGTCCAGGACACAACACTTCTGTTGTGTTAAAGGTAGGGATGCACCGATACCGGTTTTTCGGTATTGAGTACGAGTACCGATATTTTTTTTTCAGTACTCACTGATAGTGAATACCGATATCGGAAGTCCCATTAAGGAAGCCGGGTGGCGTATAATGACTCGCCGCCCGGGTTCCTTATTAGCCGGGAAGCCGACTCCATGCTTCCCCGTCACCAGGTGACAAGGAAGCATGGAGCCAGCTTTCAGGTCAATAAGGAAGCTGGGGGGTGGGTAATGACTCGCCGCCAGGTTTCCTGACTAATCAGAAAGCCTATCATTACCTGCCACCCGGCTTCTTAATTGCCCAGGAAGCCGGCTCCATGCTGTTTTGTCGGGTTGCTGTTGATTGGCCGGGAAGCCGGCTTCCCTACCAATCCGCATCAAGCCAGCTGTTTAGCTAGTTCAATGTTGATTGGCTGGGAATGCCAGCTTCCCAGCCAATCAGCATGGAGAGCCGACTTCCCGGCCAATCAGGAAGCCGGGAGGTGGATCATTACCCCCCTGCCAAGCTTCCTGATTGGCCGAGAAGGCAGCTCCATGCTAATTGGCTGGGGAGCCGGCTTTCCAGCCAATCAGCATAGAGCCAGCCAAACAGCATGGAGCCGGCTTCTCGTCCATCAGAAAGCTGGGCGGTGTTTAATGACGCGCCGCCACCTTCCTGATACCGGAAGTTCCAAATACATGGCATCGGCACCATTACCGATATTAGTATTGGTGCATCCCTAGTTGAAGGGATCAGGCTCCTTTACAGCTGCCCAGATCATTTCCACAAAAAGAGCAGAGTTGGCAGATACATTTTCTAAAAGAGTTGAAGAAGGATTTTTTTTATTGTGGAAATATTCACATGATGCTGTGCTTATAGAGTACTTCACAGTCTAATCTCTATACTGTGGGTATACACACATGGTAATGCCACAATTGGATGCATATTTTTGGACTGGCTTTCAACCACGCATGAAGGTAAACACAACAGGTTCACTTTATATCTTGTCCCTCCCTTGCTGCTTATAATTACCCATTTTTTTCTCCACTGCCCTATTCACCTGAATCAGGAATGAGAAATAAGCCCTGGTCTGATCTTTCACAAAGCTAAGGACTCTCTCATCTCCCAGGTGACAGGGCTAGGGGCTGGCTATTGACTGGTGAAGCACACAGCACTGGATCTTGGGAGAAAGAGAAGAGAGAGTCAAATGCTACCCATGCCCTGAGATGTAAGGTATTTCACTCTGCTCCAGGAGCAGAAGGATGATAAGCAGGTAGGCTGATATTTGTGAACCTGTTGCTGTTCCATGCATGAAAAGCAAGAGGTTTAATTCAGTCTTTTGAAGTCTTTACATAGATTAGCTCCTCATTTATGACTTTATTAAGAATATTTACTTTATTTACATGTTTTTTGTCCCCAGATGTTTTAAAAATGTCTGAAAAGGACAGCACTGAAAGCACTGGGGAGCCCAGCCACCCCCCAGAGGAATTGAATGCTAAACCTAAAAATAATAGTCCTGGAGAAGAGAAGAAAACAGTCTCCGAACCTGTGAGCATAACCCGGAAACGTCCGGAGTACAAATCCAGCAGCCTATCCACTGAGGAGGAGGAGGAGGGTCAAACACCAGACAAGCCCGAACAGGTACGGGGATGAGAGAGATTCTAGAAATCCAAGAGCCTTTGCAGTGTACACAAATTAATATACTGTATTCTGGTTTTTTTAAGTCCTAATCCTGCTGGCATTCCATTTTCATTAGCTAAATAAGCTGCTATGATAAGATATTACAGACTTCATGGAGGCTAAAGCTCAAAAGGACCAGGTCCATACTGATTACCCTTTTATTAATCAGCATTGGTGTGTTGTAAGCAGTACCAAACATTTACAGTAGCTATTGTACTTTATCACCAGTTTACAGAAGTAAATGCCTCTCAGACTATTAGCTGATCAGTAAGCTTAGTTCATTCACAATAGGTTTTTTTATATCTGTTTATTTTTTTCTCCTGAAGGATTCTGCTGCCAAGTCGCCTTCATCCTGGGGATACTGGGGGAGCTGGGGAAAGTCTTTAATATCTACTGCTTCAGCCACTGTGGCAACTGTAGGTGAGTATTTGGACCCAACAATAAAACCTAGTAATGTGATCCTCAGCCTACAGTTTGTATTGTTGCTCATGCAGGACAAAGCAATATGGTTTACTTTTATAACTTGCGCCCTAGCAGGGCATTCTAACCTCCAACTGCTCCATGCAGCTGTCAGCACAACAGTGGGATAGTGCACTTTAATTACACTTCTGGAGACCTTGTTGCCAGACCAGATGCATTTAACATATTTTTTTGCCTGTTAATTACCTGTAAAATCCTCCCTTGTGTAGACATCTGAAAGCCATGACACTGTTGTCTTTTGCCACCATCTTGGATTTCAGCATATTCATATACACTCTATAGCAGTGACGCTCAATATACAGCCTGACAACTCGGTGTGCAGCCTGCCTTGTCCTCGGTCCGCCACTTTAAGGGCACCTGTAGCTCTGCAGCGTGGCAGCAGGGTTTCCGGGCACTGCAATGTTATTTGCGCTTCAGTGCCCAACACTGTCAGGCAGTGTGATCTAAACCCAGCAGTACCACACAAGTAAAGTCTGACCTCCAAGTTCAAACTAAAGAGCCGCACTTCTACATTGTGGTTTTTTATTGTGTCAAACAAGCTTTTTTGCTTATTCAGCAGATTTACAAAGCCAGATTATTTGCTTGGGCTTAGTTATAAAAGTAGTCCCAACCTTGTTGGGGAGAGAGAGTGACTTAGGAGCATATGGTCAGGTAAGTAATCACTGATCACCTATGCTGGACGGTACATTTCACTCCCTCTCCACTGACCACCAATTGGGGGGGGGTTTAAAAAAAACACTGCCACTGGCGACCAAAGGAAGATTGCTTAATTGAACTGCCACTGGCGACCAAAGGTAGGTTGTTAAATAAGGCTGGTCATACACTGCTCTATTTTTCTTGTTCAACCATTGGGCTGAATGAAATAATAGAGCAGATTCCTCCATCAATGCTACGAGTGCGTTTGAAGATTTTCCGACCGGCTCCTTTGATCAGCTGATTGAGGGATACCGGCCGAAAGGGTGCTGACAGAGGCACCCACTGTGCAAATTCACACAGTGTATGGCCACCTTAACACTGCCACTGGCGACCAAAGGAAGGTTGCTAAATATCACTGGCCACCAAAGGAACATTGCTTTATGACACTGCCACTGGCCACCAAAGGAAGGTTGCTTCATGACACTGCCACTGGCCACCAAAGGAAGGTTGCTTAATGACACTGCCACTGGTCACCAAAGGAAGGTTGCTTAACCACTTCAAGACCAGGTGTTTAGACCCCCTTCCTGGCCAGGCTATATTTCAGTGTTCAGCGCTGCAGTACTTTGACTGACATTTATTCCGTCATGCAACGCTGTACTGAAATGAATTTTATACCATTTTTTAGGGACAGATAGTGCTTTATTTTGGTGGTATTTAATCACCACTGGGGTTTTTATTTTTTATTATAATTAGGAAAAATTACAGAAAATTTTGAAAAAAAAAGTATTTTTTTACATTAGGTTAGGAAACATTTATTATTAACCAGTTTTTTGGTAAAATATAAAAGATCGGGTCACGTCGGGTAAATAGACACCAAACATGTCAAGCTTTAAAATTGCGCGCACCCGCGAAATCGCAGAAAACTACCATACCCAAAATTGGCCATAGGCGACACTTTAAAAGCTTTTACCGCTCATCAGTTTAGTGTTATCAGTGATTGATGGCCCTAGAAGGCATCGCTGCCTGTTTTTTAAAAAAAAGAGGGCGTGTCTGAGCGGACGTCTAAAGACGCCCGCTCAGATCTAGAGAGCTCCGGGCCGGCTGTTTTTCTACTACGGCCGGCCCGGAGGCAGTTAATGACAATGCCACTGGCCACCAAAGGAAGGTTGCTCAATAACACTGACACCAGCCACCAAAGGAGGATTGTTAAATAACATTGCCACTGGCAACTAAAGGGGGGTTTCTAAATAAGAGTGTCACTGGCCATCAATGGGGGGTATAAATGGTACGGCTACTGAGCAACATTGCGTAGGTTGACAGCATTGAAACTGACAACCAATGTTAGGGGGGAG